GCATTTAACTGGGTTCTTTCGGTAACAAAGAAAAAGCTGAGAATTGCTGGGTTCTTTGCGTCGCTACCTTTTCTAACATATCTTTGTAATAAAAGGCTAAAGCCATCAATATACTGCGTTCAATAATAGAGAAAAATAGCGCAGATAGTGCGGGTGTTGAGTAAATAAAATGATCGCTCCGTTGACGGCATGTTTGTTTTTGCAATCCTTGTGCGCGCGCTGAATTGCATCAGGAAAAGCGCGCGCGAAAACTGTGTTCGGCCACCTTAAATACACCGAATGCAAATATGACGGACTACTCGGTCGGCGCCCGGGACGAGTCGCATGAGAGCGAGGCTAGTCAGGCTTTGATGTTTTGTTTTGACAATGCTTCCCAGAAAAGTCTTGCTTCATCGTTGATCTAGTCTGTTTTATTCAGCCGTGGCTACGAGCTGCTGTGTTTCAGAACGGCACGAGAAGGGATATAAATTTTCCACCGTTCGCCTCTTAAGCTCAGGGAAAACAGTGGATCAAAATTATGCAATTCGTTGAGACAAAGGAAAGGAGTTCATGATCGCCACAGGAAATAAAGTTTGTTCGCTACATTTCACATTAGAAAATCTTAGAAAAATCGTTTAAATGACGAGCTTATGTGGTGTCTGGTGGTGCTCCAACACGATTTACACTCTAGTTTTGAATTGGGTCAGGAGCCATAATCGGGGACGGAGACCGTAAGTCTTGGGATCCGCGCACAACCTATGATATGGGACAATTTTTAGAACAAATTGCGCCACCATGACGACATATATCCGCGCGGATCCACGCACATGTCGGAGGTTCTCGCGTGGATGTTGTGGGCCAAAAGCATCAAGCATTTCCCCGCGCTACATCCGCAAAAATCCTTGCAGCGTGTACGCGCGTGTACCGCACGCGATGGCACAATTTGTTCCGAAAAATAGAAAAATAATTAATTGTCCCATATCATAGGGACAGTCCCAATACTAGAAATAGCGCGCGCTTGCGGTCTCCGTCCCTGATAATGGCTCCTGATTGGGTATGTTTCTTGGAAGACGCTACTTTTTCATCATTATCAATAAGAACGTCAACAAAAGCCCTTCATAACTTATGTTTAGGGTAACTGTGCCAGCCGCAACGGTCGTAAATAGGGTATTGAATTTTTGGCCAGGTCATAAATAGGGTAGCAAAAATTGCAGATTTTGGTCATAAATAGCGTTTTGGGAAGTGGGCCGCACACCCTCACCCAACGTTTCTGGGAGTGCCCCCCGGGGACTGGTGATGGTAGCGGAGCCGAGGGCCGATCTTGCAAGATCTCTCTTCTTTCCCCCAGCCCGCACTGATCCGCGTTCACTTCGTTTCGCTCGCTGACTCTTTTTTGCCTCATACTTCACCCTCATAACACCGCGGTAAAAATATTAAGCCAATTGAGCGATTAAGCGATTTTTCCCAGGACGCGTAGTTGAAATTTGAAAACCAGGCGTGTACCGGACTCCTCAAATGTCTTCTCAAATATCTTTTGGGTTTGACTTTTGGAGCTAGTGTTCCTTAGATATATGCACACCTTTGGTACGGTCCGTTGGGTTCTTCTGTATGGAATCCATGACTAAGAAAGTTTTAACAAAGGGCACGAAAGGAAATATACACTTTCAATTCAAAAAGTGTTGATTTGGCCGTGGGCCATTGTATCATTCTCTATTTTCCAATTGCCCATAATTCACTCTGTTTGCCTCCCAAATTTTGCATAAACTATTGTTGTGAAATGCTCTTGGGAGGTCTGCATATTCCCAAGAGCATTTCACAACAACAGTTTATGCAAAAGTTGGGGGGCAGACAGAGTGAATTATGGACAATTGGAAAATAGAGAATTAAGAAATCTCTGAAAGTTTAAAACAAAAAGATTCCTATCCTATGATTAGCCTTCCATAATATTAAAACATCACGGATACTTACCTTGTCTGGTTATTGCCCTGTCTTAAAAGTTTTGCATTCTACATAACTTAAAAAGTTAAAGGACACGGATGAATTTTCAGGTCTGTATTGCTAGAAATGATCCATCTATAACTTGGTTACGCCAGGGATATATTCAAATTTACTCGTGCTGCAACTGAACGAACTAGAAATGAACTGATAATCCAATGCGAGAAGAACTTGCCAATTCCCTACCCAGTCTCAAGGTTAACAGGAATGATCGAAAATATTACAATAGTTGGGTCCCAGGGCTATAGGAAAGAAAAAGTAAAAATGCCAGACACTTACACCGTTTGTCGAGAATTCCGCCCTGGGATCGCTCGCAAGTTAAAAGGTAAAATATCCGAAAACTGAACAATTCAACATTACGCTACGTCGCATTACGCCGTGCAAAGTACATTTCTAACCATGAACGTTCTTCACACCTTATGAAAAAACTGTTTACGTTCTATGACATTGCATGCATGGTTTAAATCAACTAAAGAAACTGAGAGACTGAGATCTTCACACTTCGCCAAGTAAAGAAACTTCAAGTTATTAGTTTCTTTACGTGGCCGGTTTTTTTCCCCACTGTTTCACTGAATGAAACAATGAGAAAACAAACTGGCCACAGCAGTCTTACTAAATGATATCTTGCCGCAGACGGCACTACCCAGATTTTATCGGTTACCTTGAGTTCTCCAAGCTTCTCTAAAACTGGGAAAATCCTGGCTTCCCCATTGCTCAGGCCTTTTCATGATGCTAAAAACTCCTCTTAATGCATGCGCTTTTAAAATAAGAATGGCTGAAACACGAAAGAAAAAACAGAAACACGCAGATTTGTGTTTCATAAAAATGCATTGAAGAATGCTTTCTTATTGTGGTGCTACGCGTTGCCATACCTAGTGACATGTGCATTTAAAGTTCGTTCATGTGTGACATGAGCGAATTTGAATACATCCCAGGGGTAACAGAGTAGAGATGGATCATTATATTTGTCAGTGCAGTTGTAATTTTCAAATTTATCTAGAATGCAAAAATTGCTTCGCCATCAGTTTAAGACAGGACAATAACCAGGCAAGTTAAGTATCCGTGATGTTTTTACATCAGTGGAAGGCTGATCACGGAAATCTTTTGTTTTAAACTTTAGGAGATTGCTTTTAAGCAATTATTAAAATAATTATTCACTGACGCAAATCAAGACCTCGTTGTTTGAACTGACAGACTGTAATTTCGTTGTTTGAATTGACCCTGAATTGTAAAACTTTCCAAGTAAACTTAAATCTGAGTTGAGATCTGTTTCAATCGTCCCCTTCCCCACACATTTTCTTCTGGATACCGTATAGAAGAGCCCAACGGACCGTAATAAAGCTGTGCTTGTATTAAAATACTTAATTAAGTTTTGTTGTTGTTGCTGTTGCTATTGTCCAAACCAGGAGCCATACTCGGGGATCGACGGAGACCGTAAGTCTTGGGATCCGCGCGCACCTATGATATGGGATAATAGGGCCATTTATACGAGGAAAATAAGCCGCGGATTACACAAGCCGCGGCTTAAATAAGACGCGAACTTTTACCGTATAAATGTTCCATTTTAACCAGTTCACGTCTTACACAAGCCGTGCATAACATAGGCCGCGGCTTGTGTAAGACGACGGTTTTGAGCTAGGCCTAAATAAGCTGCGGCTTATATAAGACGCGAAACCACTCGTATGAATGGTATCGCGGCTTGTTTGTAGCTTACGTAAGACGCGGGAAAAGACGCCGTAAACTTGCCGTAAACAAAGATAAGTGAATTTTATTCAAATGACGCGAACATTGTCAATAGCGTTTCTCGCTTTTTGATTGGCTACTTAAAAAAGTCCATGAAATCTCATTGGTTAAGAAGTTGACAGTTTGACAGCAGAAAGTTGAACTTGAAAGCTTGTATAAATTAAAATTTAAATCCGTCTGTACTCTTATTGATGATACAAATAAGCCAATCAGCGCGCGAGAAATAAGACAGTCATTGTAAAAAAATTAGATTGAATTACATCGATAACCATATTTGGAAGAAAGTTCAAGGTTTCGGAAAGAAAGATCGTTTTCATCTAGCTCTTGGTCATCGTGTCGGTAATTCTAAGGTTGATAATAAAAAAAATTGATATCACGATATAAAACTAATTTCAAGATAATTTAACAATCAAATAGGGTATCATTTACAAAGTTTGTATTATCATTTATTGAATAACAGTTTTTGGAGCCTTTTCCTCTCGTGACAGAACTATTATACTAAACATAAGGACTTTCGCAAACTCTTTTGTTAACTGATCTATTGTTTTTTTTTATTAAAGCTAATACTGACCACATTCAGACGTATATGTTAAAAAATTGGCGTTCCGTCCCTAATAAGCCCCTAACTCTTGAATAAGCGCCTTCCCTTGAACTAACAAAAGTAAATTAGCACTAGAGGTTCATATTGGCGACACCCTCAGAACGAATGCCAGCCAACATCCCAAGATGGCATTAACTTAGGCTCCGAAGAGAAGGAGGAAGCGTATTTGGGTATCCCATACTGGGGATACCCAAAACACTAGGGATCTGGGTACGGGGGTACCCTAAACGCGGGGATACCCAAATCACTGTGACACCGGCCATTTTGGTTTAGCACAGCAACATCAAGGGGTAATATGGTTTTTTTAACGCATAGCGTCGCATAAAACTGTTTTGGATTTCTCCACAAGTTACTGTTTCCAGAGCCTCACAATGTTTTCTGTCTAGATGGAGTGTTGGAATGTCAGTTATCAGTTAAATTTTCGGCGATTTCTCAGCTATCAATGAACAGCTCAGCCCATCTCTCAGTTATCACGGTAACTTTTTTTCTCGGGGCCTGGGACCAAACGACAAGAACAGTATGAGGGAATCTGGACCGAGTTTGTTTGGCGGGGACTTCAATCATGGCGTCTACCAGTCAGATGTAGGAAGTGAAATGTTTATCCGCAGAGAAAAAAAAGAACTAGTCTCGGAAAATTCACCTCCACTGATGTAGGCAGCTTCGATATTCTTGTTCTAACTATGGTGAAAATTTTCCGCCTTTTGTCTGGACTAGACACCAACATGTTCAAAGAAGAATACTTGTGACATCTTGGGTAGTTGTGGTCGTCTGACAGACAACTCGTGCATAATGTCAGATGGTAGAAGAAAAATTAGTTACCCCAGAGGTTCGGCTGTTGCTTCAGAAATACGAAGATCATGGAGTTGGCGAAGAAGAGAAGGGCTGGTAAGTTGAATATGCATTTCTAAAGTGCAGTTGATATTTGAAAACTGTCTTATCTAATCGCTGGTCCCCTGCCTTCCAAGAAACATAAAAGCTCAGGCCTAAGAGATTTTCAGTGTCAAACGTTCTTCAGCACTTCAAAATTGTAGTTAGACTTTCTGAGAAACTCAATAACACGGTCAAGTCGGTCTATGCAAAACTTTTTGCAGTGTGAAGGAGAAATAGATAATGAAAATCGTTCAGCGTAAAGTATATGCGGACTATTGTTTTCCCCTTAAGTGTATCTTACAAAATGAAGTATTGGAGAACTGCGGACACTGGTCTGCAGTTTACATTTTATGTTGCCCACATGAAAACTAGAGCTTGCTTGTGCATTAAGCTTGTTTCACTTCTTAATGTCATGCAGCTACTTAAGGTCGTTCCTCTGAAATAGAACCTGCACTGAGATTTTTGTCAAACTTTGCCTATTGACTGTTTATATTATAGGAACTTAAATTTGGAAATAAAATTGAGGGGTCTCCATGTTTGTTTAGGAGCAACAGCACCTTGTTTATACCATATAAATCCTTACAATAGCACCATGATTATAGTCTTGATTGCTTGCTAAATTCACGTTTCAGACGATTGTTTCTTGCTCAACACTGGGAATGGGCCCATAGTTATTTTACATAGAGAAATTTATTACTCAATTCAACACAACAGAAAAAAATGATAGGTCACCGTACTCGTTTTCGAGAAAATGACGATTTACCTCTATTGTGAGGTCCAGCCACGAAGAAAAAGCAGTCAATTTTTAATGCACGCGCGCTAATCATGCGTGAAATTATGCGCAGTAGGGATGTGCAATGCAATACTGGGGAATGACCTTAAAAGGAAAAACAACTTTAATATTGTTGTGGTTTTAGATACAAATTTAGCTTTTATTACAGTTGAGCCTGCAATAACACTTAACACACAATAACTACAATTACCCCGGCCTGTTGCCTTGTTGTATGTCAAGCTGCTGAGAATTGCAGTAACAGCTATTGTTTTATAGCTGGAATTTTGTACCCAATAGTGCATGTCCTAATTGGCTACTTTGAGGTCACGTGACATTTAAGAATAAAACTGTCACCATGCTCGTTTAAGAGAAAATGAGCATTTATTTCCCAGTCAAGCTTAATTTGAAGTGAATCTCTTGATGTCGTTATTTGATTTTGATTTTAATTTTTAATTAACATGTGTAGGGTGAGAGTGAAGGTGAAATTGACATGGACACACTGGAGGTTCTTTGTCAAGTTCAGGAAGTAAGTGCTGTCATTTTATTTTATATACATATCAGATCTGGTTTAAATTTCTATTGGTCATTGTCTCAGACTCATTAGGCATGATTTAACCATGATCATAAAATAAAATAAAATAAAAATCAAACTGTTTTTTACAAGGCCAAAACTTTAATTTAAACTACAATATAACCCTTAGTTCTGTTGAAAGAACAGTCAAATCACAAAATAAGATCTGGACTTACTGGCGTACAAAAATAAAAACAATAATAGTCCAGAAAATTACATAGTATTATTGAGAGTCTGAATACAAAATTTTATGGACATGAATGCTTGAAAACTGGTTAAATTACACTACATATGTGTGTGATTTCATTTACCAGTTCATATAGGTTGCAGAATTCATTCCTCTTGAAGTACCCTAGTCAGCCTCTGCCAAACAAAAACAATAATAGTCCAGAATTTAATAACATAATATCATTGAGAGTGTGAATAAAAAATGTCATGGATATGAATGCTTGGATGAGAAAGTGACCTACATCTAGCCTTTTCGGTTCTTTAAATTATTTTTTTTCGCCTTTCCTTTTTCTCCTTTTCTTATCTTTATGTTGCAGTGATTGACCTTCTACTGGGCTTGCTTCCAGTTCAATAACTTCTGAGAAAGTATAATCAAGACGGGCAATTTTTGCCATGCAATAGCTAAGTGTAGTTGCAGGAAATTCTGCTGAGAGTTTTTCACTCAAATTTCTGAGCATTTTTGTACATATAATTATTTCACGCTCCATTGAGCCGATCACTCTGATCTGGGTATAATTGGAAAGATCTTTTCCTCCTACAGAACTTCAGTACAGGTGATGCCAATTTTGGTCAAAGGTGATGATGTCAGAAGTAGAACAAGGGCCGACGCTCTTCATGGCCAGTTATGGGCGGTACGGGAGTCAATGGGTTAAGAACCAGTGAGATGTTATCCCTCAGAGAGTGCGAACTTTGAATCGCCCCATACTGTGCTCTCTACATACCATTAGTTTTAGTTCAGTCATTCAACATTGTTTAGGGAGAGGGAGAAGAAACAAAAAATGTACAGAGAAGCCGACTATTTTGAACTCTCAAGAGAAAAGAACAAATTCTTAGTTCGAGATTTCAATAATCTCTGACAAAATAATTTTTAAGTAGTGTCATCCTAAATTGCTTGGAGTGGGTGTTGGGAATAGTGGCATATAAGCATTGATACAAAATAGTTACAATACATTGTTGACAAACATAATATTGTTGTTTTCAAGAGATCAGATGGTGGATCACTTGGGCTCAGTTCCCAGGAGGCATTTAAAAGACTTTTTGATGCCATCCGTGAGGAGTTAACAGCTTTCACAACAGCTAATAGTGTCACCTGGAGAAAGGATCTGTGGAGTGCACTGAGTGTTAATCATTACTTGCCGATTAGCTTCATCAGTCTTGCATTTCTAATTTTTGAGTTCTTGGTGATGATTTTGTCATATGCCTTGGCTGGTACAACAAGGAAGTAAGTCTCTACACCCTAAGGTCCAGACTTTACCAGAATTTAATACGATCATAAGTTTGGTGACTAACTTTTGCAACTTGCAATTGTTGTTACAATTGGTGTTACAGGAGCCTTCTGCAACTGGCAGTTAAAAGACCCTGTAATTCCTCTTTTCCTTCATTATTGATGACAATATTGTTATTAAATGAAATCATAAATTGTTAGTTTTTATTGTTATTATACATGTAATGTAAATTATCTCAGCCCTGTGTTATTCCCTTGGTTTCTTATGACTTTGATAACTTCCCTCACCCATGAAAACCTCAAGGTCAATATTATTATAATATACAGTACTGGCAGAAGGGTATAATCCTGGGTTATATACTTCTGATACTGGTGTTTGTTCAGTAATATCTTTAATTTGATCAACAGTCAAGTCTTTTTGCAATCCCCCAGTATCACATTGCTCATGTGACACACACAAATATGTTTATGTCCAATTTACTTTAAAGTGACATATTGTAGGGAGATTGGCAAAATAGGATATTATTAAGGGGTATGCATTTGGACTGTTGGTTATCTCTAAGGTGAAGCTAAATGGGAAACATTTCCTTGCAACTTGTTGAAAAAAAAAATCAGGAAAACCAAGAATGTGCTGTCATCTATCATTAGCAAACTCACAAAATTGCAAATCAAGTCAAACTGATTTCTAGTCCATTTACATCTCAGTTCAAAATCTACTCAGCCCCAATATTACTTCAGTTCTAATCTTGAAGTCATCTAAACTCAAAACTCATCTTTTTAAGAAGACTTATTATTA